TTCTAGTATTCTATAAGTTCTTAGTTTGACATTATGGCTGCTGGCTGAATGTTGCCTTCAAGATTTTAAAGCATCTTAATAGCTTCTTTAATGTTGACGTTGAGGGATTTGGGAGTAGCTACATGATCTTGAGAAGGAAAAAGTTATTCGATTTTTACTTATTCATGTCCATGTGTTGTTGGATTTTCTCGTTCATGTTGGGAAAAAATCCTTCCCTTTTTACTCCATGTTTAGCCTTCATTTTGTTCTTTAATTATTGTGTATTTTCTTTATTCTCTTCTCCATTTTCTTGTTTTTTTTTCTTATACATTTTTATTCTTTTTATTTATCTCCAAGTAAATCCTGTTGTCATTCCCCTTTATCAGTCCTCTTTTATTCATCTTTTGATATGAGGGGTTTAATTATAGCCCGGCTTTGTTTGAGGTGGGATGTTGGAGATTGTGGATGATTTGGTTAGGATAGCAATAATGCACGAGATTAGAAGTGTTTAGAGTGTAAAGGATTAGGTAGGTAGTTGGATTCTAAATACTTGGGTTTTAATGACGATGTTTTTTTTATGGTTTAGTTTCCCAGCTCCTCATTCCAAATCCTTGTCACTTTTTTCGTCATTTTTTTTTGGCAGCACATGTAGGCTTCCTCTCCTTTTTTTAATTTAACCACCCTCTTCTTCCACCTTGGTTGCACCTTGCGCTATGGTTGATTCTTAATTTATATCCTCATTGCCAAATCCTAACTTGATAACTCCCTACTTCATTGATGCTCCTTCATCATCTTTGGGGTCTCTAGTTGCCCACACACTGCCGTCCTTTATAAATGTGGTTGGTGGATTGAATGTTTTAAATTTACTTTCTTCTTCATTTAATCATTTTCCATTTTTTTAACTAGGAGACAATAGCACTTCATGAAGAACAACCTTTCATTTATCAAGGTAAACCTATTCTCATATTCACTGATGAGATCTTCGGGCTTGTTTGTGCGCTATCTTTTTTTATTCTCCACAAATTCTATTTGAGTCAATCAAACCTATATATAATGTACAAATTTATGTTTAAATTATATTTGACGTGTGATTATTTTGTGTCATTGCCTTGTCTCAAGTTTCCGATGTGAAAAGTGGGTCCACAAATTCTATTTGAGTCCAATCAAACCTATATATAATGTACTAATTTATGTCTAAATTATATTTAACGTGTGATTATTTTGTGTCATTGCCTTGTCTCAAGTTTTCGATGTGAAAAGTGGAGGGTTGTGTTAGGTAGCTGACAACTCACAAAAATTTTGTCGAAAAATTATTACACATCTTTTAAATCATTGTGTCAATGATAGGGCATCCCTTGAAAGTAACACATTGTATTGCCTTAATATAATAAAAAATGTACATGGGTCACTGCACTAGTGTCTAGGTGTAATGTTAAATAAGAAAATGTCCCACATTATGGAAATATATGGGCAAAAAGTTAGTTTATAAAACTAATCTTATGATAGAAAATTCAAATGTAGGTAATCTCACTGGTACATTAATAAATTAGTAGATATTATAGTTCAGAGGTATATAAATTTTTTGTACATTCAAGAAACAAAATAAGTTGGAGAAATAACTAAGGAGATTGATATTATAAGTTTTAAATTTTGGTATTTAGGTATGAGTGGTACTAGAAATGTTGTAGATTTTATATAAATAAGAGTTTGAGATGAATTAAAGATAGAATTATAACTCTAAAGAAAAATTTTAATTCTAAGATTTTTAATGTTATAAGTGTTTATGCTCCCCATATAAATTTGAATATATGTTTGAAAGAAAAATTTTGAAATGATCTAGAAGAATTAATGATACATCTTGAAAAAAATATGAAGGATATTTAAATGAACGTGTTGGTAGAGTGGTAGAAGATTTTATAAGCATTCGCAGTAGCTATGATTTTGGAGTGACTAATGGAGAAGATAGAGCCATATTAAATTTTGATTTAGTTTATTTAAGAAAAGAGATGAGTATATTATCACTTATAAGAATTGATTTAATACAATAAAAAATGATTATTTTCTCATGAAAAAAATAAGATTATCGAGATTTTAAACATTGTAAGGTCATTCCAAGTAAAAATTTAAGTATCTATTATGGTTTATTAATTTTGGAGTTTAAGATGAAAATTTGGAAGGTGAAAATCATAATCAAATATTGTTATAGAATTATATGGGGGCACTTAAAAAACATAAATAAAATTATTTTTATGAGTAAACTCTAAGATCATAAGATTTAAGATGCTCATAAAAAAGCTAATAATATATGAGATAAAGTAGCGAGTACTATTAAATAAATTGCAATGATGTGCTTGGGGAATCAAAAGAAAAAATTCTTTTAATTAAAAATGGTAGTTGCTGAATAGTTATGTGAAAAAAAAAGTTCTTTTATAAAAAGTTGATTTAAATGTAAAACCCTATAGGATTAAGAAAAATGTAAGGTGACCCGTAGGGAGTCTTAGAGAATAATTTGTGATGTGAAGAATTCTGCTTTTAATGATATTTATAATAGATTACATACTAAAGAGAGTGAAAAATATATGTATAAACTAGCAAAACAAATTGATAAGAAAAATAAAGATTTAGTTCAAATAAATTATTAAGGATAAAATGAAAATAATTTATTCTATGAGAATATTCAAGATAGGTGGGTGAGATATTTTAATTAAAAATTTCAAGAAAATTTGTCAAATTACAATCAAATTTAATGATCTTAGTGTCATGAATATTAATATTTTTTTATTTTCATCACCACATTAGTAAATTAGAGTGAAAAATAATTTTAAAGAAATTGAAGTGTGATAACTGCAGGACCTGATAATATTCCAATAAAAATGTTAAAATGTTTAGGAGAACTGTGAATTTCTTAACTTACTAAAATTTTTAATATTATTTTAAAAATTAAAATGATGCATGATAGTGGAGAAAGAGTCTATTGGCTCATATTGTTGAGAATAAAAGTTATGCACAAAAGTATGCATATTAGAGGAATTAAGTTGATGTGTCATAAATTAAGGTAACACTCATCATGTTATAGGTGCAAAATGATATAAAAACTTTTTAAACTTAGTTTGGATTCATGTCGAGCAAGTCTATTATGGAGAAGTACATAGAGAGTAATGAGGATCTACTTATGATTTTTCTTGATTTTGAAAACCTTTTGATAATATTCAAAGAGAAGTACTTTTGAGAGTTCTAGAAAAGAAAGGTGTTGATATTGCTTATATTCAAGTCACTAAAATTATGTACACTACAACTATTGCTTATGTTCGAACACAAGGAAGATTGACCAATTATTTTTTTATTTCAGTTGAACTATATCATGGATTGCCTTTAAACCCATATTTTTTGGTTTATTTATGGATGTTGTTATTGGACATTTATAGGCTAATGCACCTGTTTGTATGCTTTTCGCTGATGATGCCTTATGTGGATAAGACTAGAGAGGGAGTTTGGGAAAATTGATTTATGGAGATCAACTTTAGAATCTAAAGGCTTTCTTTTAAGTAGATCTAAAATTTTATATATGGAATGTAATTTTAGTCGTGGTAGATTTAATGACGGAGTTATAATAATTGGTATTCAATTCATTAAAATGAGAGAATATTTTAGATATCTCGGGTCTATTGTTCAAAGTGATGGTGATATATATGGGGATGTTATTACTAGAACTCAAGTTGGATGGTTGAAGTGGAGGAATGCATCAGGCCTACTGAGTAATAGAAATATACCGCTTAGACTTAAAAGGAAAATTTTATAAGATGGCGGTGAGAACAACAATGCTTTATGATGTAGAATGTTGGGCTGTAAAAGAGAAGCATAAAATTAAATTAAGTCTTGTTGAACGAGAATGCTCAAGTGGAAGAGTGACTTTATAGTTAGAGACAAAATGGGAAGCAGATATATCCGTGAAAGGGTTGGA